GGTGTTTGCATTTCTGCTTGAAGTCTTGTTTCCAGATGGAGTGAGGGCGCTGTGGGGGCTCAGGGTGGGGCGTCCCTGCTAGGCTGCCTGAATGGGGCGCGTTTCTGGTTTTCTTTTAAAGACCAGGGAGACCACCCCCTCGACCTGATGACCTGGCCGGCTGAGACAGATGTTGCTTTGAAGCTGCCTTAACCTGCAGGTCAAAAATACTTTTCATCATCATTCAGTGTTGGCAAAACTGAAGGAGTGTAGGGGAGCCCTCAAATCATTCTCATGAGAGAGCTGACCCTCAGACGTTTCCCCGGCAAAGTATTAGGGACAGAGGAGGGATAGGGTCAGGGTATCAGTGTCCTGATTACAGTGAGTTTAGCTTTTCTCTCTTCACAGCCATTTCTGATTTGAGAAATGGGGATTAATTCCATTCCTGCATTTTACTGGTTAGTGATGGAAAAGGCTCAGAGGTTTAACTTTATTTGGAGATACAGACCCCAAAACTTGCCCTGCTTGCATGGAAGTCCCCAACCACAGTGGAAATTGGGATGAAGCATATAGCCTGCTTCTGATGTGTTTCCACAGCTTTCTGGTTTGGATTGAGCAGAAAACACAGAGCTGTCTTTCCAAGGACATAAACTTCCACTTTTCAGATTTTTCCAAGCTAGAGAAATGCCAAACGTTTCTAGCCTCAAAAGAATATTGTGATTTAGAGCTGCTCGAAATAAGCTTGAGGACCATGAATTTCTTATCGTTGAGGTTTTGCTTTTCCTGGTGAATATGAGAATTCATGTCAGATATCTCCATGGGGACTGCGTGGCGGGTGGGTTACCTCGAGAGAAATGTTTCATCCCAACTGACATGTGTTTTTAGGCTTCTGAGTGGTCTCTGTCAGCCAGCACATGCTCAGAGACTCTAGAAAATTCATTTACCCATAACCCAAACCAATCAGGGTTCAGAGGAGAAACTGTTGAAAAATTAACCAAGCAATATATTCTGTACCTCCCACCACTGGTGTTATTTATTTATTTTTTAATCTGTGATTTCTTTGCGTTCAAATTCTTCAGCTCTCTGGCTCATTAAAATTTGATGTATCATTGCATCGCATTTCGGGAAAGATGGCAGCTCCGCTTTGGAGACAAGTTGGAAAACAACCCAGCTGGGTCTTTGGTTGGGTCTGATATTCATCAAAGGGAGATGGAGCCACTGAAACCCAAACCCAAACCCAAACCCAGAAAACCAGGAGGAGGCGGATGGCGAGGGAAGGAATGTCTGGTCTGGTCTTGCCAGACCCTGTCTGGCTCAGCCGGCCCGAGCTGGCGTTGGTGGGGGGAGGCGCCCGCTGCCGTGGGCCTGGCTGCTGCAGGGCCTTGCTCTGAGTGTTTCCACGGCCCGCCGAGGGCCACAGTCTGCCCTCTTGCCTGACATCCTCCCTCGGCACCCCTCTTCTCACTTGTGAAGGCACTCGAGGTTCTGCGGGCACACAGCTTGGCATCAGGACAGGGCAGGGCAAGCCTGGCCCTCGGGAAGAGGCTGCTTCTCGGGGGAAGACTGGAAAAGAACGACCCAGGGCGGCTACACCATCCGGCTGTGCTGTGTGTTTTGCAGAGAGGAGGAGAAGGGCTGTGGAGAGGCTGGAAAGAGACGGACGTGACAGCAGAGCCTGGGGAAGGTCACGGTCAGGGTCACGTGGAGCTGAACGTCGTGCCCGTCCCAGGGAATGGCAGTGCTGGGCCCGAGGTGGGAACGAGGTCCGGAGCCCAGCGTGTGGAGTGGGATGAGGGCAGGAGGGCGGACAGCGGGCACTGCAGAGCGACCTCAGCTCTCCTGGGACCCCTGAGGGCCGAGGGCCCTGGAGGGGGCTCTGGGTTGGTTCCCAAAGTTGGAGTGGGCACGACGCCTGCAGATGACCCTTCCCAGTCTGAGTCTGAAACTCCGGCTGGTGCCTGCAGGGTCTGGAGACTCGCCCCCAAACATTCCATACAAGGAGACCAAGTCTTCTAGAATTCTTTGGAAAGATGTACAGAAGCCTCGTGGCTGCCAGCCAGCGCTGCAGCCCTACTTCGCACAGAGAGAAGCGAGGGTAAGGTGGGGTCAGTGCAGCGGCCGTGGTCACTCACGAGGCCGAGGGCAGCCCCTGGAATAAAGCCCCCTGTGTTGCCTTCCTCGCTGGGATGGGCGGCATGGCTCTCCCCGTATCGCCTCATTATTATTCACGCCAGGGACGGTGTGAAAGGGGAGATTGTTTCAGAATCAAGAAGGAGCTGAGTTCGTGTACTGCAGTGAGTGTCCGAGCCTCAAGTGCCACCTTATCACCAGTGCACGGCGAGGCCAGGTCCAAATCAAACACATTATCAGCCTTTGTTGATTTTCCAGCCCAGCAGCTGTATTAATGGAGCTCTTTATGTCCCTTCCCTTTATGAACCCGGTTCTCTCACTTTCATTTCTCTGGGAACTTCTAAATAAAGCTCTGGCTGAAGAATGAGAAGGGGGTTTGCGTTGGAGAGCTGAACAGAAACCATTTGCTCAGTGGAGTTCAGACTTGCAAAAATAGGGGCAAATATGTAAGAAAAGACCACCCTGGTGCTAAGAAGGCGGAGAGAGGTTTAAGGATCAACTCGGTGGCCTTCTGTATCGGATTTAAATTTACGTTGATAGATTAGGACATTGAGTATTGACTTCACAAAGGTTTTCTCTGCGTCTGCACGTCTGCAGTCAGAAACTTAAAACGTTCCTTAAACATGTTTTTGCCTTTGAAAGCCCAGGAATTGCTGTTGGAGTTAGCCTGTGTATGGTTCGGGAAGAGTCTTTCTGAGACTTAGATGATGAAAATGATGCCGTTTTTCAAAACTTTTGGTAGATTTTTTTTTTTTTTTTTTTTTTACTCTTTAGTCTATTTTCTGTTATGAAGTAGGCATTGTGATTACCGCCTGGCTTTCCAGCAAAGTTCGAGTTTTGATTGGTACCAACCCTACCAAACTACAAGCGAGCATGCTTACATAGTCTTTGTTTTGTATCTCATTTTATAGACCCATGGGTCTGAGCCTCCTGGAAGTGTGCTTTGCTTCATTTATATGCTGTTTAAATATCTTCTGCGTCAATCTAAAAAAGATGTTAAAAATAAAAACCTGAATTCTGAAATCTGCCCAATATAGGAAATGACCCATCAGCCCTGGGTCTGCCCTCGCCCGAATCTCTAGCACAGGGGACGCTGTGTGCTCTTAGGGAAACTGGGCCAGGTATTAGCAAACGGCAGGTGCAGAGGCCCTGGGGCGAGAGCAAGATTTGTGTGTTCAAGGAATGAAGTCTTACTCTGCATTGATGCCTTTATCAAAAGTGACAGAGATGGCGGGAGGGGAGGGGGAGGCGGAGAAGGGGTACGGGGGGGGGGGGCTGTTTGCTGCTTCCGCTCATCTGAGATGCGAGCCGAGCTCTCAGTCCATTTTACTTGCCACGCTCACCCCGTGTCCTCTCTTCTTGAAAATGCCCCCTACTCTTCCTTGAGTTCCCAGCTCTGATGTCACTTCCCACCACTATCCCCCCTATGAGATGACCCTGCTGCGAGGCTGCTGTGCCCGTCCCATGACACTGCCTGGCTCTCTTGTCATCTCCTATTTAAACATCTGCCCTAGCCTCTAACTTCTGCAACGTCAGGACTCAGGACATTACATAGACACATGTTTACAAAGAATGAATGATGGTACTGTCACCTGGGTTTTGAGTAAAAATCAAAAGTAATGTTGTTTCACTTGAGTCCTTGCTATAAACTTTCCCATCAGTTTGTTATATGAACCCAGGCCACTCAGAAGATGTTTTCCTCTTGTAACTCTTGAGCAGAAATTGGTTCGAGTAATGATCACAGGGACAAAACTGTTTATGCATCAAGTGTTTAATTAACACCTACGATGCGCCAGGTGCTGCTCCATTTGCTGCAGATTCACTGGTCTCTCCTGAAGCTTTTACTTTTCAGAGATTGGGGGCTGGGCAGGCAATCGGCATGTGAACCAAATAATTTTGGGCATTGAGCACTGAAAGGAAATTAAGACCGGTGGGTAGACTTGAGGGCTGCAGAGGAGCAGGTTGAGATAAGAGTCTCCAGTAGCTGCTGTTAGCCTTTCCAGCTGATGGACTGAGTCTTGCGTGATGCTGGGGGGTGGGGGAAGTGGTCCAGTTTCTAGCAAACAGCAGGTGCAAAGGCCCTGGGGGCGAGAGCAAGCTTTGTGTATTTAAGGAACAAGGTAGAGGCTGATGGTATCTGACACTTGAGAGAGGAGACTGGTTTGAGGTGAGCTCAGAGAAATAAGTGAGCGCAGCATGGAGGATCTCACAGGCCACGCGGAAGCTTGGGGTTTCTTATTCCAAGGACTGCGGTGCATTTCACAGACATACAGGCTCTGGATTTCTCTTGGCAGACAGAGTTGCGCCTGGGGAGATGCGGACTTGAGAATGAAATTGATCTTGGTTTGAATTTCCTCCCCACCTCCTACCAAGCACGACCTTAGGAAAGTCTTTCATTTCTCTGAACTCAGATTCCAGCTATAAAATTGGATTAATACTTTTCAATGGGATTTATTCATTCTTTGTTCATTCATCCCTCAAATACTGAACTGTATTTCTGTTGTATGTCGGGCCCTGGAGATAGAATATGCCTGGGACAGCTGAGCTTTTCCTGCCTTCATGGAACTTACAGTTTCCTTGGGGAGGTCAGTGCATGAGAAGCAATATGAAAAAATCAACTTCAGGCTATGATAGGGACATCAAAGAAAAGACAGCAATCGGTAGAAGAGAGTGGTGGGTGGCGTGGCCCCTGTTTTGTGGGACACTGCAGGTCAGAAAAGTGACCTGTCTTCCTCCAGATCAAATTGGATAGAAGAGGAAGAACCAGAAATCAAAGCCTGTCTTTCTGTTCCACAGTCTTTGTTCTCTTGGGACGCTACGTGGTTGTTCTACCCTCTAAGAGTAGAAGAATAAATTACCTACTTGGGATGCCTTCTACTAGAGAATAGAGCATGAATGTCTAAACCACACAGGTAACTGCTTAACGCTCCACCTCCCATGCACTGAGTTATGTGGCTGCTGACATGACCTGGGATGGAGGACTCATTCCATACTGTGTGCAGCCTGGAGTTGGAGTTTTCACTATCATCTGCGGCCTTTGGGGTGTTTAGGCCACTTCATGTCTAATATTCCATGTGAAGCCCATGAAACAATATTACTTATCCTGTTTCCTAGATGGAGACAATGAAGTTCGCAAGAGTAGCCAGAAGACTTGCCCCAGCAGCACAGGGTTTGAGGGGCTGGGCAGGACTTGGACAGAACATGGTCTTTGTGGTTCTCCCCACTCCAGGTGTGGCTCTGTCCCCCACACCAGGCTGGAGAATGCCTCCTGAGATAATCTCAGTAAATACATTTTGATTGTAGGGATTTGCAAACTGTAGCTTAGGGTTTAGTCTCGGCGATTGACATCACTGTTTGACTTGAATCATTGACTTACTGTTAGTAGCAGTATTTGGATCCTGTAAGCCTCTTCCATTAGGTGATGAAGAACATTTTTGCCAAGGGAAATGTTTCTTAAGCAAGTGCTTCCTTTTACCTAGATAGGAGGTTGGTTCTGGTCTGCAGGTATTTGTCTTGTTCAGAGAATACATCTTGACTGAGTCTTACTATTTTGTAATCTTCAAATAAACAAAGAGAAAACTTCACTATGTGCAGTGGGGATTTGGGGAGTAAGAGGGGCAGAGTCCCCTTGAGAAATGTCCATGACCCCCTCTCACCTGAGTTTTCCAGACCCTGGTTCTGTCATATTACCTGTTTGCCATCTGGGTGATCATCCCTGTCTCTTAGAGGCTGACCTGATCTGATCCCTAGGCAGGAAATACCATGCTCCTCAGGGCTACATTAGATCCCACTCTTTGTCATTTTTCTGGTGCACCTCACTGGCAACATCATCATTACCACCAAACACCACTACCATCACTATCACCACTATCGCTACCATCACCACCACCAACACTATCGCAACCACCACTACCATCACCACCACTATCACCACCACCAATACTATTGCCACCACCACTATCATCACCTCCACCACCAGCACTCCCATCACCACCACCATCATCATTGCTACCAATACCATCACCATTGACACCACCACTATCAGTACTGTCACCACCACCATCATCACTTCCACTCTTACCATCAATACCAGCACTACAATCATCATCGAGACCACCACCATCTGTCCCCCCACCATCACTTCCACCAACACCATCACCATCAATACTGCCACTACCACCATCAACATCACCACCAACACCACCACTATCACCATCACCTCTACTAACACCACCACCACCATCATCATCATCATGGTAATCATAGTCCTGGTATCATGTGAGGATGGCTGTTGGTTTTCTCCTATTATGCTACATAACCAGTTGTTCATTGGTTTCTTGGGGGCATCTAGAGTTCTGATAAATTTATCTCAGATAAAGATTTCTTGTCACTAGATCTTTCAACAACAAAAATGGTGTTTTTGCTTGAGGCCTTTGAGTGCTTTGGGCTTCAGATTAGAAAACATACAAATCCTTCTAAAGCTAAGACATGTGACTGTATGTATTCACTTAGCAAATATATATATTGACTACCTGATGTGTGTAACGCCTCGTTGTGGAAGGAAATAGTCACCAAATAAACAAAAAGATACGCTAGGAATATAGGCACTAGAATGAAAGCAAAGTGACAGAACAGAGACTGGGCAGAGACTTTAGCATGCCTAGCGCAGTATCTGGCATGGCCACAGCATTACAAGCTCAGTGGTTAGACAACAGGTATTGGTTTCGGGGTTGCTTATTTGTCTGCGGAGTCCTCATTCACGTCGGACCAGTGATTATCTGGGCGTATTTTTCACTGCAGGGCAAGTGGTGAGTGGAAATGTGTGCTGGCTCTAGGCCCTCAGCTCAGACCGGGCCACTGTGGCTCACATTTACATGTCACTGCAGTAAATCACGTGACCAAGATCAACGGGAAGAAGGACTGTGGTTACAGGGAAAAGCTCTAAAGACGCCCCTGGCGAGGGTGTGGATAATAGCCCTACTCCTGGGGAACAGATGGTCTACCTCGGAAAGCTTCGGGACATCAGAGTAGGTGACAGAGAAGCTGAGACCTAGATCAAGCTAAGGCACCTGCCCCAGGATCTTGAGGAAAAGCTCCAGGCATGGAGCCACTGGGAAGAGGCCCCTTTGCAGGAGGAGGGTCGGGATTGGAGGGGACAGGTTCGGGGTGGGGGGGGGGCTGGAAGGTGGAGTGAGAGGGACCCTGAAGAGTCAGCAGCCATCTGACGAGGGGGGCCTTGTAGGTCAGTGAGACTTTGGGTTCGGCCACAGAAAGAATGGGGACTTGTGCACTGACGCTCTCAAAAGCTCTGGCTGTGGCTGGTGTCTGTCCGCTGTGGGAAGGCAGGTGGGGCAGGTCAGCGTCAGCAACCTATACGATGGCCTGGATGTCCAGGGCTTCTTGAAGGATTTGAAGGCCGCTCTAGGAACTGTGGGGTGATGCCTCGCAGGCGGCGCCCTCGGCTGCCAGGGCGTGGGCTCCTTCCAGCGGCTGCACTTGCCTTATCCTGGAGAGAGCGGCAGGGTGGCCCCGGATAGGCCTGGCAGGGTGGCCCTAGACAGGCCTGCCACGCGGATGCGACTTCCTCATTCAGAGCAGAGGCCTCAATAAGGAATCACTTTAGAAGAAAGGCTGCGCTTTAATTTATTGTTTTTCCCCTAAAGTTTAAACATTCTCTGCACTTGAGTGCCTGTTGCTTATGCATCTGACTTATTTAGGCAATTTGCAATTGTGTGTGTGGTCCAGTGCAGCCTATTTCAGTAAAGTGTATGTTAGAGGCTTGGAAATTGTCCAAAGGGTGTTGTGTGTGTGTGTGTGTGTGTGTGTGTGTGAGAGAGAGAGAGAGAGAGAGAGAAAGAGAGAGGAGAGAAGGGGAAGGGGGAAGGGTTGACAGAGAGAGAAGATGACAGGGAGAGAGAAGGGAGGAGAGGAAGAAGGCAGAGTTGTGGAGAGAAGCAGAGTGGAAAGAGCGAGGGTGAGAGAATTTTCAGCTTGCAGCTCGAGCGTGATGTTCACAGACGAATGTGTACATTTAACTTGAAGAATGGATTTTTTTTAAGGTTGGTTATTGTCAGTCATATTGCAAGCACACTGACATGGTTTAAATTAGCACTGTGGAAGCAATAGACTGCAGAGGAGTGCGTGACTAAATTATTAAGAGCAACCCATGAGCATCAAGCACGAAACCATCTCAGCAAATAGAGAAACTTTATATGGAGCTTTCGCCAGCTGTGTCCCTGGTCATTGAGCACAACGTGTAAGACTTTGCCCAGGGACTATTTTGGGAAAAACAGTCATTTCATCAAGGGTACAGCTTAGGTTTGAAATTTTGTTTGCATCATTTGCCAAGAATTTGGCATCCAAAAATTAAATGTGAAAAATGTTAAGAGGATTGGAAACTAAGGCAGGGAACTCTTCTCACCAAATTTTAACTATTAGTAACCTGTAAGAAAATAACATTGCTGAATAATTTAGCATGTTAATAGTAGAGAATTTGGTTTTATGCTGTAATGGGCAGTGTTCTTGTGGATCCATAGAAACATCTGAAGCTTTAAAAAGAAAAGGCTGAGATGAATCTTGGCTTCATCACCTTTGGAAACTGTACTTAGGCAAATCATCTTTGCATCTAAGTTTCCTTGTCTGTAGTGATAGTTTGCATCTACGGGTTTTGAGAAGAGTAAAAGAAACCACATTTGCAAAAGATATTCTGAAACTTGCAGGGATGGGCTAACAAGCATGATGACTTTTGTTGATAGTTATGATGAGTGGGGGTCACCATGGAGCTCTATAGTTACGAAGAGTTAGGAAACAAGAATTTCATTTTTTGAAAACTCCTAAGGCTATTTCATTGAATAATCAAAGAAAAAAGCCGGGGCAAATGTTTCAACTCTGATTCTTGTGGAGTGAATTTGGAAGATGGTGGGAAGCAGATTGTGACCAAAGGCAAGGAAAATTAGACGAGAACAAACCTGCAACATGTTTAAATCTGATGTTTTTCTGAACCTCACATGCCAGTAAAGTGCTTTGAGCCTCTCATCTTGTTCTCATTTCCACATATGATCAGCCCATCAGATTGGGACAATAAACAGTTCCTTCAGCAGAGAAAGAAGCATCAGAAGAGTAGGAGCAGCCACAGGTGAGGGGAACTGCAGGGGGGGGGCAGGGTTGAGAGTCAACCCTAAGTCAGAAGTGAGGTCTCCAAGATAGACACGCCCCATTCCAATCAGGAGCCTAGCGAGGCCCCTAGCATGACACAGTCGATTTATTACATCATGAACATGTGAATTACCGAATACAAAAGCAGAAGTTGGGAATCTAGAATCAAATTCTGCTTCTTGGTCAAGGCCTACTTAAGTCCCACCTCATCTGTGTGGCCTTTCCACCTAGTCATCATCCTTTCCATGTGAGTTCTTTCAGCTTCTACCATCGGTGGGAACCCTCCGGTCTTTCTTTGATCAAATCTGGAGGTCACACCTTTTTTCTGGAGTATCAGCCTCACACCACTGGGGCTGTCCTTTGATTGAAGACTCAACAAAGAAAGGGCATCAATGAAAAAAGGGAATCTTCTGCTCTTGTTGAGCTCAAGTCAGGAAGGGGAGCAGGGAAGATGGATTTAGCAGCTAGTAGCCAACATTTCTTCAAGGAAGATATAAGGATGGCCAACAAGCATCTGAAGAGCTGCTCAATATTACGTGCAAACCAAAACCATGAGGAGCTAGCTTCATATCCTTCACGTGGCTATGATCAAACAAATAGAAAAAGCCAGTATGGGTGAGGATTCAGGGAGTCCATGAGAATGTGAACTATTGTACCCAATGTGGAAAACAGGGGTTTCCTCTAAAGTTAAACAAAGAATTAGCATATGACCAGCACTTCCACTCCTAAGTTTGTGCCTGAAGAAATAAAAACAGATGGTAGAACAAAAACTTACACATAAACCTTCATAGTAGCACTATGTTCAAAAATGGAACATCCAAAGATGGAGCATCCATTATCCACTGAAGAATGGATAAATAAAAAGTATATGTTCAAATATGGAATATTACTCAGCCATAAAAAGAAATTAAGGATTGATGCTTATTGAAACATCTGTGCACCTTAAAGACATAGTCAGGTAACAGCCAAGACACAGAACCCACTGAATGATTCCATTTGTGTGAAACAGCAAGAATTGGTAAAGTCATAGAGTCAGAAAGATTAGTGATTGCCAGGGCCAGGAGAGACGGCATGGGAGACGACCGCCTGATGGGTGTGGTGTTTACTTTTGGAGTGATGAAAGCTCTAGAATTAGAGGGGCGGGATGCACAGCACCCTGCGTGGGCTGAGTGCTACAGAAGTGTGCATTCGAATATTGAGTTTTGTTATGTGACCTTATATTAGCTAAAGAAAACCAGTAATGGCCCTCCCTGGTGGCACAGTGGGTGAAAGCACCACATATGAGGCACTCTGAAGCCACTGCGGCACAAGTTTGATCCCCCGATAGGGAGCTGACCCACATGGCATGGCAGACATCTCCTGGCCCACTGCACCCTTCAGCAGTGTATTTCAGTCCATCTGCCTGTTCTGTTCCCCACTCTGTCTCTGGTGAATCTTCTCTTCCACCACACCTCTGGCTTATACACCAGTTCTGTATGCATAAATAAATAAATCGTATAAAAAAAAAGAAAACCAGTAACTAGTCATGAAGATGCATTCTTTCAATGCTGTGGGAACTGAGTGGCGAGACAAACACCTCTGTTTGGGGGTGTTGGATGGGGCAGATTTGTGGAAGGAGGTAATCTTATCTGAGTAGCCTCTTGAAGAACAAGAAAGTATGTTCTAGGCAGAGGCAGCGACTCAGGTAAGACTATGGAAATGTGAACAAGCATGGCTTGTCTTTGAAACATGAGTCTTCCTGCCAGATTAGCGAAAGGACAGGTTGGAAATGACGTAGTGGAAAAACAGAATTGTACAAGTATTTATTGAGCACTTACTGTGTACCAGAAAGCACGCTAAAGTCCTTGCGTCAAGTATGAATCCTCCAGTGACTCTTCTTTCTGACTTTACCTGTAATGAAAGAAAGTGGCTTGCCTAATGTATAGACTCTTCGTTTTATAACTCTAAGAGAAGGATGTAGAGGTGGGAGTTTGTAAGAAGGTGAGCATGAAAGTCTTTCCCCCTTAACTGACACTTTATGAGTACTTTACAGGTATATTCAGGGATGTAGGGAAAGCTTTGTTCTTAAATGCAAATGTAAACCTGCATTATAGTAACCTCT